ACTCTTTCTTGCTCTTTCTCTTGACCTACTTTCATCCATCCCCACTTAATGAGCAGAATGGAAGAGAAGTAGGAAAAGATTTCTCTGAACATCTTTTAAGTACATATTTTACATTATCTTCATGAGCATGTGGAAAGCATGCTGTGATCAGTAGCAAGAGGAGAGTTTCATTACCTGTTGAGTTAAACAGTAGTCTGTGTGTGAAGCAATAGTGTCCATCTCTCCTGCATAGAGGTGTTGATTTAAATTGATGATAAAAGCTTCATTGGCTTTGCTGTTTAAATCAGAGACCTTTGCAGTTTAACAATGTAATTAAGTTTGTTTACCACAATTTCTGTTCTGATAACACTGACTTTTTTTTTCTCAAGTTCTTTAAACAATTTGTCCTCTTTACAAGAAAGACACTTTGCAGCCAATAATTTGAGAAAACAAGTATTTTAAGAGTGGCTTTTTCATTGCTGTCCCTAAAGTTCAGTTTGTCTCTAATACTGAACTTCACATATCATTATAATATTTTTGGGTCCCAGTTAGATTTATCTAAGAGTTAAAAATAGTAGATTTGAATTCTTCCATTTTAACGTGTGCTGATGTGTGGGGAAGTATGTGGTTTCTCTTTTTTCTGCCATCTGACTGTTCTGACCGAACTCAGCTTTTTATAAAGATCTTTACGCAAATTCAGGAAGTGAAACTAAGGTAGTGCAGAAGAAAAATACAAGCACCTACTCCCTCTCTGCAGATCTCTCAGTAGTGGAGACCAAATAGTTGCCCAGAGAGGTTGCTCAGTGGTAATAGTGGGAAAATACCTTTGCAGCACTGCTATTCAAACACTTGTATTTTCATGTCTTAGAGGAAATAACATTCCTCTAACTATACAGAACTTTCCCTCTGTATGGATTTTCTCAGCCCAATCAGCACATAAATATCAAAGATTGTCAGTTACTGGTTTGAGCTTTTATTTATAAATTAACTTGCATGCATCCAGAAACCTGGAAAAGCAGTTGTTGCAGGAAAACTTCTGCATAAACACTTTACTGGAGAGAAATTTAGGTGAGGGAATGTGGAGAGAAATTTGACTGGTTCAGAACACTGAAAGTGCTGCAGAGCAAACACATTTAAAATTATTTGGATCTAAAATAGAGTTCTGTTAATCCATTTACCTATCTGATTTTGATGTTCATCTCTCAGCTTTCCTGCATGTAATTTGTTTTCTGTGAGAGCACCATTCACAGGGAGATCTGCTTACAGTTTTTTTATCTTCTCTTGGCCTGATTTGATACACAAAAGTAGCTCAGTTTTCTTTTAATGCTGTGTTTAGACAACATTTCAGTAGCTCAAGAAAATAGAAAAGGCTTTTAAGGTAACTGTTAAAAATTGCATTTGCAGGCTCTGAAAGTGCTTCTCCAATCCAATCTGCTCTTGGATCCCGATCACAGACACCCTCTCCTGCCACTCTTCATGCAGATCATATTGAGCAGAAGGATCTGCAGCTGGATGAGAAGCTCCACCACTCTGTTTTACAGACGCCAGATGACCTAGGCAATATCTGGAATAGAAAATATAAACCTGTTCTTTCTTTCTTTCAAATGCAATATAGTGAAGTAGCTAGTATCACATTAGTTGTAAACAATCCTGTACAAGGCTATTTTGTCTGCACTTTTACAAATATTTAATTACAGTGATTTCGTTTAAAAGCAAACAAAAACCTTTTGCATTTTGTCCAGCATTTCATCGGAAATACTAGCAGTAGATTGATAGTCCACACATTTATAATTGTTCTTTTTGATGCTTAGAGTTGTGGCAGCTTAATCTAGTATGTGGCCCTGCTGTGGATTGTTTTATTATTGATGTACAAATAATAAGACATAATTTTAAAGTAATGTTAGAATTTCCCCTTGGAAGTTTGGTTCTTTTCCCTTTCATATTTAAACAAATTTGTAATTACTTAACTATCTTAGCTATTGAATTCTAGGATACACTCATTTTGTAAATATGAAGTTGCCATTTCTCCCATATTTGGTCTCTTGGAAACAGAAGAGTGTCTGATGTGTATTTCAGACTCTTTTCCTTTTAAGTAGCCTATGGCTGGACGGAAATACCATCATTTTGCTTTGTACTTTGAAATCTACAACCTAGAAACCATTAGTGTCTCTACCACAGTGGTCCAGATCTTCAAAAGAAGAGGCTATGTGATTAGGCTGAATTCAGATTTAATTTTGATTTTTTGTATGCCTGTGGGAGCTGTGAGATTTTCAGAAGATCTCAGCAAATTCTGGTGCTGAGGTGTTTTGAAAATCCATCTGAAAAGGGTGGAAAGGAGATTCTGGATGCCTGCTGCTTTAAAACTGTGGTTCGTTAGCTAGTTTTGTGTGATTGTTTAGTTAGTTAAGTGTAAGCTGAGTAGACTTTAGTCATCGTAATCTATCGAAGTTTTCTTTGTATGGACAAACTAGATTTATCATCTTCCACCTAAAAAGAATGTTCATTCGTATAACACCGATGTGTAGAGAGAGCTAGGTGAGAGTTACACTGTGGTGCTAGGTTACTGAATGTTGCCTCTCCACTCATACAAATTTACTGCTTAAAGAATAGTGGCCAGAGACAGGTTTACTCTCGCCTTTCTCTTCAATTTGCACTAAAATACATTCCTAGTAGATTCTAAGGAAAATCATCTTTCTGTTTCATTGAGAAAAGTGTGAAGTTGAAATGTAATTTTCCTTGGAAGCAGGCAAGTAGAGTTCTGGAGATTCATTAACTCCAAAATATGTAAGACAGCACTTACAAAAGGATTGGCCTTACTAGGTCCATCAGATCCATATTAGGGCTCCAGTAGTGACCTTAAATGTTATTTATGGAAAGAGTATAAGAAACAGGACAATTCTTCCTCTACAGAGTTTCATAATATACATATAGTTAAACATATCCAGTTTTGAGGTGGCTGAATGGGTAAGAAATATCTTACTCTGAAAGCCTGATCTTTTTTTTCCTTTTGGTTTTAGGAAAACTATGTATGTAATAGCTATATCAGAACTTTTGTTTTTCTGGAGAGGTAGGTCTCACTATACTTTTTTGTTCCATTACAGAAACTAGTGAATTCCCCTCAGAATGTTGCAGCGTGATGGCTGGGGGAACGCTTACAGGATGGCACGCAGATGTTGCTACTGTGATGTGGAGACGAATGCTAGGAATTTTGGGAGATGTCAACAGCATAATGGATCCAGAGATTCATGCCCAGGTTTTTGATTACCTGTGTGAACTGTGGCAGAATCTGGCCAAGGTAAAAGAACTGAACCTCTTCTCCAACTTGACCTGATAGAGCAGGATTTTCAGAAGGAAAAAAACACCACTTTATATATTTAACTTAAATATTTGTCTTTTTATTTTGTTTTTGATAATTGCAGATAAGAGACAATCTTGGTATTTCAACAGATAACCTAACTTCACCATCTCCACCAGTTCTAATTCCACCACTGAGAATTCTAACACCATGGCTGTTCAAGGTAAATTTGCGCACTAAGCAGTGAAACAGAAATAAAAGTTTATGTAGGTGTAGAAGAGTGTTTAATGTGTTTTTTTGATTTATTAATAATATATATTGTTCTAAAACTGTAGGCAACAATGCTGACTGATAAATACAAACAAGGAAAGCTACATGCTTATAAGCTCATTTGTAAGACAATGAAGCGAAGACAAGATGTTTCTCCAAACAGGGATTTTTTAACTCATTTCTACAATATAATGCACTGTGGACTTCTTCATGTTGATCAAGTAAGTTTAATTACGAAATTCAGGTTAATGTGAGGGCAGAAAAGGTACTCTCTCATTTTTTACTGATTGTATGTTACAGATTGAAGCATGCAAGAGAGAGAAGGAAGCAGGTTTCTCTAAGGTCTACTGTTCTTCTTACTTGCTCCCTGATGCAACAGTTTAGCTAGTGGGAAAGTAAATTGTGCTCACTACGTTGGAGTAGTTTATTTCTACAGCAAGTATAGGAACCAGCAAACTAAGACATACTGAGTGTATCTAATCAATGGGAGTAGATCTTTTTCATAGGTTTTAATATGAACAAGTCTAAAAATATTGTATGGCTTAAACACTTCTTAAAGGCTTGCATCAGAAGTGTGAAAAAATTGGATTTGTGAACTTTTTTGAGGAGCAGTTAGAGGCATAGCGAGATCAGCGGTTCAAACAACCGTGTTTTCATTAGCTGGGCAAAATAGAACTAGTCGAAAATGATTCCACAGATGGCTATGGGTCAGGCAAATCTGCAGTTTCTGTCCTCTTAACAACCAGTTTGCACTGTTTTTCTTGCTGGATTGCAAATCTTCCTATAACATATTGCCATTTAGTGGGATATCACTACTATTGGAGAATTATTCAAAAGAGGAAAAGGGTTATTTTTTGTGATTATCTGTGAACTTGGGATGTTTTTTAATAATTAAAATATTTTGCACTTTTTCCAATACTTTTGAAGAAATTGCATTACATGTACAAAATCATGTACATTAATTTTAAAAACTGCCTAAGTCCACAAGAACGTAATATGCTGTGTTGAATAACTGTATAGCAGAAATGTTATAAAACACTTCATTATAATTCTTTCCTTATATTTTGGTTCCATACGGATATATATAAGAGCCTAGTACCTTTTTTAACATTACAGTCAGGTGATACTTGTTAGAGAGGATTAAACATGTTAAGAAGGTGTAATAACTGGTTATCTCACTATATCTCTTCTGTACATATTTCAATGAATGGTTAATCATTTATAGAACTCTTAAAAGCTAAATGTAAATGAATATAAGATGTGGCCTGGTACCGCCCTCATACAATAGTGTCCAAGATTAAATTGATCTATAAAGTGTATCACAGTTTACTTATATTAATATGAGCATACTTAAGGAATTTATCTTTTTATGCTACTCTTCACTCAATAACGAGTGTCAATTGCCACAATGAATTTGCTTTCCTGCATTTTTAATTTCTACCTTTGGTAAATACCTGCCTTTTTTTAATTCATTGTTCGTCTTGTGGATACTCTTTATTTCCTTCTGCAAGGATATTGTCAATACAATCATCAAGCACTGCTCTCCTCAGTTCTTTTCACTTGGTTTGCCTGGTGCCACCATGCTTATTATGGATTTCATTGTAGCAGCAGGAAGAGTGGCTGCTTCTTCTTTCCTCAATGTAAGTGTTCATCAATTAACTCTCATTTATGTGCAAGTGGAAAGAATTTGAGAGAAAACTGAGTAGTATTTTTGCTTGACTAGGGTGTTAACTTGGCCCAAGAATTCAATGTAATGGTTAGCAAATACAGATACTGTCAGTGGTTTATTGTAGAACAGGACACGTGCAAGTCCCCTCCAGAAAATATGTGAAGAATGCAAAAATTACTGTTGAAGCAGAGAATCTTCCTTTGCTTCAGAGTTCTCAGAATTGTGACTGTGATTTATCTGTGCTTTAAAATATTTTAAAATAAATGTCAGTTTTGACTGTACCTTCATTTAAAAAGTATATTTATTCCTCCCTATCTCTGCAGTGCAATGACTTCAGTGATCAGGCTTGAGATCTCAAATCTGCTAGTGTTTGCACTATTTGGATGTATTCCTCAGGAATATTGTTACCCAGGCAACTTCAGCCTATTATAGTAATACTGATATGATTACCTAGATACTGTTGGCCTTGCATGACTGTACTCTCTCAAAGCTCCCCAATACTCCCCTGCAATTGTCTGTGACTTTTGACTGTTTCTCACATCATTCCCCCTTTAACCAACTATGAAATCCAGCCTCCCTCAAGGTACTATCTGAAGCCTCTGTCAGCTTCTTACACTGTTACCTGTCACGTCCAGCAATGCCTCCTGTCACATCTGGTAGTTTTCCACGTCCTGTTCAGCTAGCTGAACCTAAGACCCCAGCCTAGTTAGTAGCTCAGTCATTTTTCTGTAGTCCTAATAATTCCTCTGCTTCCTTTTGACCATCTTGGAAGATGGGATGTGTGCATAAGTAGCAATCCATGGGGCTGTGATCTCGGTTTGCTCAGCTCTACAGGATTTGCAGAAGAAGAAAGGAAATAACTGTGTAGAGTTTCAGCCGTTGTTCTCTTTTAAGGCAGCTGGAAATGTCAGCTTCCTGATTGCAGTAAGAATATACATTTCTCCCCACCTTTTTTTCTTTTAGGCACCAAGAGTGGAAGCACAAGTTCTTTTAGGATCTCTAGTCTGTTTTCCCAATTTGTATCATGAACTACCAGCTCTTCACCCAAACATTCCTGACATTGCTGTGTCTCAGTTTACGGATGTTAAGGTAAGAATTTTCAGAATATTTGGATGGTATTCAGCTACCAAGTATATGTTTAATATGGTGTTTTTCCAGGAAATACTAACTAAAATCTTAAGATTCTAAAATTTTGCAGAAATAATTTTAAATAGATTATAAGGCCCAAGATCTCATAAAATCTTGTCGAACTTTATAGTACTAAACGTACTTTATAATGGCTATTAACTTAATAATAAAGTGTTTTCCTATATTTGTAAAAGGAAATGATGTGTTATCTCACTGATGTGTTATCTCACGTTTTCGAGCCTGCTCTTATTAGGGCTATTTGCAGATCTCACCGATTTAATCAGCTGAAATGAGAAGACTGAGAGGTTCAAGATACATTATTTAATTTATTGCGAATTCACAACTGGTGAAATCTGCCTGTGTTCCTCGGGGCTTTAGAAGACCTCTGTACATTAGTATGTACTTTTAGATAAAAAGCAGAGATTTATGGAGACCTTACCCTCTCTATTGTAACGCAGAGTTGGGTAGTGTGTCAGTGTACTGAAACTGGGCAGAGCTCAGTTCGTGTGTTTAATTGCTGTATGTTTGTCAGGTATGATTACTATGTCTAAGAAAGGCTCCCTGTAAGTTTCCAGATTGTTTCAATTTAGAGAGAGATGATGGCTTGGAAGCTGCTTTATACCTTGCTCCGTTTTGAGGACTGATTTTGAATTCCTTCTTTCTCATTTCTATTGTATAATGGCTGTTTACTTGAGCTTTATTAAGAGCAAGCTACAGCTTTAGGGACATTTCAATGCAGTTGAGTCAATATTCTTCTTGACATCATTCTTAAGGCACTGTAGTCACTTGTTCTGCAACTACTTCCAAAGACTTTTAAAATCAATATAATTTTTTAAAAATGCTTGTTTAAACCTCAAAGTTATAGGTTCTTTCTATAATACCCTTCAGCACTGTTCATAGAAACTAGCTTTAGGGAGTCCTTTGTTGTTCGGCGGTGTTTTTGTTTGGTTTTTTTTGTTTTGGTTTGGGGTTTTTTTTACGGTTGATATTTTATGGAAATGTTATGGCAAGAATTGGCAGAAATTAGGACAGTAACCTGTGGGATATTCTTGGGGTAGCACAATAATGAGCATCTGGGGCAGACTAGAAGCTTGAAGGTAGTGGTAAGCAAACAATTCATCTGACCACAAATGTAGAGGCTCAGCTAAGCAACATGCCTGTGTATGCTACAGTAAAATTCTAATTTTCTGATGCTTCATGTGAAGGAGTTACTGGTAAATCAATAAATATTTTTGTCTTTCTTTTAGGAACTTATAATTAAAACTGTGTTAAGCTCAGCAAGAGAGGAACCATCTGGTCCTGCACGGTAGGTCATACAAAAAGAGCTTCTAAATTATACTGTTTTAAGGTGAATATATTAAAGACCTTAAAGTAAAAGTTCATATGCATTTATTCAGTGTTTCCTTCACCACTATCAAAACTGGGGTCCACAACGTGAATTCAAAATTGTTTGTAAATAGACATGTTAAAAGAACAGACATCTTCTGTCAGACCAAATGCTGGTCTAGCCCAGTATCCGTTCTCTGATACTGGCTGATAGGAAAGGGCATAAATATGGGTAAGAGTATAAGCTGTATGTTTTCCCAGCCTATCTTGGTCTTCAGCTCAGGGATTTTCTGTATTAGAGAGGCATTTTTTGCTTTGATTAAGGACAAGATTATTTATGAGGGAGGTATGGTTATTTTTTATTAGACTACATGATTTAATTTGAAAAACAGAAATAATTCAAGGTACATGAGCCCTTCTTTACAGTACAGAAAAGAAGCAGAAAATACTGAGCTAAGCATTAAACTGGGAATGACTGCTCTGATGCTTAAACCTAAGCATCTTCATCAAATAGAGAACTTCAGAGAGGATAGTTACCAGTTTTCTGTTTCTTAATTTGTTTAGTATTTTGTTCCTCCCTGCCCATCCCCAGAAGCTTTCAGTTATATAGTCCTACGTATGGGATTGGAACAGGAATCTGTAATGCCTACAAAAGAAGAGCACACTTGTGTACATTATGTATTTGGGTGGAGTGTTTATATATGCTCAACTAATATATTGTCACTTAATAAATGCAAAATACTAGAACTTCATGCCTGAAAAATGTTACTGGAAAGATTAGCTCATTGAACCTTAAAATGTTTTGCTGGAAATCCAAGAGCAGTTTTCATCAGCCCACTTACATGTTCTTCACTTGATCTGATAATAATTCAACACAGGGGAAGGAAGGAATGTTCTGAGATCATTTTCATTTCATTTTTCATGTTCTTTTACAAAACAGAATTCTAAAAAGCATAACACTCTCCATTTTGCTTTTGAAAAAGGTGATTTAAATCCAGTTGGTTCAGAATATTATTGATTCTCTGGCACTGAAGCACACAGTATTAGCATCTTCAGTTCTGGCAGTGTGGCTGGGAAGAGGCAGGGAGCATCCTGCATGTCCCTATATCCTGTCTGGCTGTGAGGGTGCATACATAGGAGCAGAGGCACGTGTGCATGCCCAGCCTTTCAGAAAGCTGAGTTACGCTGCCCCAAAACGCAAAGTTGGACCACTGTGTGTAATAACTTCAGATGAAGATTAAAAAGGAATAGATTCCCAGTGTCTCCTTGGGTTACCTGTGCCTCTCTCCTTCTTCTGGGATATGGAAGTGTATGTCTTCATTGTGGGGATAATGATGTTCCCACAACTCCTGACGCTTGACTGCCTTACTCCTTGGTGGCAGTTTATCCACTGTCTTTTTTGGTAATAACTTCTCTGATACCATCTGCTTCACAGCAGTACAGAGTTCACCTGGGTTACTGTCAGAGGTCATATTTAGGATCTCCATTACGATTTTGCAACATTGACTTAGCCAGTAGTAGAGGCTTAATTGTCTTTGAAATTTCCGAGGAGAGAACTGAGATTTCTTGGAACTTAGGTATGTAGCTTTGTAGATCTCTAGCACGTCTGAGTGCTGTTATTGTTACCCAAGCCATAAATCTCTATTCATTATCTCTTCCACAGAGGCTCGATGTTTTGCGTTTCATTACATACTTGACCCAATTGAGCTTCAGGGAAGTCAGTTATCTGAAATATGTTCTACTCTCAGATCTCCATCTATAAAGATTAATAACTGTATTAATCAAATACCTCTCCTGCTGCTGACAGTCTGAAAAAGAAGTGGTAGGTTGATGAACTCGGTGTTCATCTCTTCTTCTGCTTGTGCTGTTAAGGCTGCGGTTCTTTAATAACAACATTGTAGCCAAATAACTACACGTTTTTTCAGAGACTACTCTGAATAATGATAATGAAACTGATGTTCTTAGTAGAAAACTCACAAAACTGGGTGTTTTGAATGTCAGTATGTCATCAGATGTGGAATGGTTCTCAGTAGCATGAAGAAAACTTAAAATAGTAACACAGACTTAGAGCTATCTACTCTTCTATATACTAAAAGTTTATTTTCTGAGTCAGCTTACACAAACTGTCTACATTTATTGTTAAATCCATGCTGTGTTCTTACCTTTTTCTGTTCAAAAAGGAGTGGAACACATACTATGGAAACAGCAAAAGTATAGATTGCTCCCCCTTCTCCGAGGCTGGAGTGTGTTTAAAACATTCCTGGCAGTAGCTTGCCTAAGGGGTCCTGAAAATTTTCTCAAAGAAGAAAGTTACAAAAATGTCATATAGACTGTTCCAATATTTCTCTAATTTTTATAGTCAGGTTGGTTTTATGACCAGTATATAGGAGAAATCTTTTCTACTGGAAATTAAATTCTTCAGTGACTGACTGCGTGTGAGCAGATTTATCATTTCCTCTCTTAATTGTGATCTAGACTCAATACATCCTTCAAATTTTCCTCCATATGCAGTATTTCCTGAAGCTGTTTATTATTTTTGTCACTTTTCTCCTAGGCTCCCTTAAGCTTGTCTTTACTCTTAAATTGTACTAATCAAAATGTAATGGAGACAATGTACAAAACAGAGTGGTTTGACATCTTATTTACACTATCACCTAGAATTAATTCCAAGATGTATTTTTGCTGCTTGTTAGCAGTTTCATGATTCTCTGTAGCCTTAAAATCCTTTTTCTACAGCACAGGCTTCATAGCCACTTCTGTTTCTGTTTCTATTCTAGCATATAATTTTTCCTTCCCAGATGTAATGCTTTGCAGTTCCCATGACCAGCTTGCATTTTGTCAATTTTGGATTGCTCTCCAATTTTATCCAGGGGATTTTGAATTCTGAAGTTGTTTCCAAAATATTTGCAGTCTGTGTTCTTGAATATAATTACTAATGATTCAGAGATTGCTCAAGCTAGGTCCTTAACATTTCTGAAGAAATTTCATCCATCTCTGCTCATTTGAACACATTTATCTAAATACTCTTTACCTTTACACTTCTTTTCTATTTCCTGTTTTTAAATGAAGAAACACCAACAAAAGTTAAAGTATTTAATCACAGTATGTATACTGTCTCTAGCATTGATTTACCTCTCCTCTATTCCTCCCTGTTTAGTGTCCGTCTAAAAACATGTGAATATCTATGATGAAATAACATTCCCCTCTTGTCTCTCTTTCCCAGAAGCTGTAAACAAATATGAGCAAACTCTCATGTTGGGGAGGAGGAAACTCCCACCACAATTTTTACTTTGTCTTAAGAAAACATATATGAATTTCCCATACATTGATTTCGGGTAGTATTTTTAATCCCAAAAGCACATAGAGATGCAGGAGTTCTTGATGTCTTTTGGATATTTCGTTGCTCAGAAGCGTGCTTCCTCTGTCCTTTCCTGTGCCTTCACTGGGGTACTTGGGATTTCTTGCTCGCTTTTAAATAAGTTACAGCATTATAAAGGTTTTTGTGTAGTTCTTTTGAAATATTAAAAATACATGTGTTGGACTTTAGCAAGACGTATCATGAATCATAAAAATGTCACATTCTTGTAGCATGTTGCTCAACAACTTGTCCTCCAACATTGTCTTACAGATGCGTTGCTCTTTGCAGCCTTGGTATTTGGATCTGTGAGGAGCTAGTTCATGAATCACATCATCCTCAGATCAAGGAAGCATTGAATGTGATTTGTGTTTCTTTAAAGGTGAGAGACTAACACTTTTACAATGTATATTGCCTTTATGTTTAAAGATACTTTGCCTTTTCAAAGTCACGATCACTTTTAGCATCCTTACATCCTTCACAGTCTCATTTTCAATCCTTACAAAGGACTGAATTCAGTTTGGTTGGTGGATCTCTGAATTCTGTGAAAAGAGATCTTTACCCTTCTTTAAGTTTGGAGGATATGGTGTGCTTGGAGATAAGATACTGGATCCCTATCTTAATGTATATCACTAGCCACTTCACTGTAACCTCTACCCTTTGGAGTATAATAGTTTGTCCATCACCCCATTTTTCATTAATAATCCTTGCAATTCAGGTTTCTGCAAAAGCACTTCTGGCTTTGTCCAGCTATACCTCTTCCCGCATCCTGGACCCAAACTTCCAGCAGGGTTTTCTGCATCTATTTGTAACTAGATCTAGGAGCCTGTGGTGGATTAGCCTTAAGTAAAGGTCAAACTCCCACCCGGCCACTCGCTCACTCCCCCTCCTCAACAAGACAGGGGGACAAAACAGGATGAAAAATCGTGTGAGTCAAGATGAAGACAGGGAGATTGCTTACCAGCTACCATCATGGGCAAAACAGATTTTACTTGGGGAAATTAATTTAATTTATTGCCAGTTAAAATAATTAGGGCAGTGAGAAACGAAGACAAAATTTAAAACACCACCTTCCCCTGCCATCCCCTTTTCCCAGGCTCAACTTCACTCCTTTATTCCCAACTCCTCTGCTTCCCCCTGCCCCCTCTCAAGTAGTGCAGAGGCGATGGGGAATGGGGAGTTACGGTCAGTCCATAACAGTTCCTGTCTGCCACTACTTCCTGCCTGTTCCGGTGTGGGTCCTTCCACTGGCTGCAGTCCTTCAGGATAAGCCTGCTCCAGTGTGGGCTGTAGTTCCCTCAGGAAACATCCAATGCTGCAGTATGGGCTAGTCCACGGCTGCAGTGTGGATATCTCCTCTGACATGGTCTTTCCCATAGACTGCAGGGGGAATCTCTGCTCCAGTGCCTGGAGCACCCCCTCCCCCTCCTCCTTCTCTGACCTTCATGATCACCTGCTGTTTCTTGTTCCTTTTTTTATTTTTCATTCTCTGCCTGTGTGGCATTTTTGCCCTTTCTTAAATGTATTTTCACAAAGGCGCCACACACTTGGCAGATGGGCTCAGCTGTGTCCTTTAGTGGGTCCATTGCAGAGCTGGCTGGAGCCTGCTGTGTCCTGCATGGGGCAGTCCCTAGGCTCTTCTCACAGAGACCCCCTGTAGCCTTTGCATTACCAAAATCTTGTGTGTGCATCCAGTACAGATCTATACAAAGACTCTGGAGTACAAAAGTGTCGGAGTCTTTCCTCCTCCAGCATTTGTGTCTTCTGTCTAGGCTAGCCGTGGATGCCCAGGTAAGTCATATCGCTCACTAACTGCCATTCTGGATTCCCCAGCTCTGATTAGTAGTACTCTTAAAGCCTCCATAGTACGTCCTTCTGACACATTGCAAAAGGGAGAGGCCAGGGTAGAGAGGCAACTGGAAGGCATACCAGTTTTGGGAGCAATCTGCCATGATATGCAAAAAGTCTGTCCCAAGCCAAATTGCTGCCTCGTACTCTTTGACTACCAGACTGAGCAGAGCATCCAGTTTAAGAGGGGGACAGGAAAGAAAATGGGAAGGTGACAAATGCAAGGGCCAAGCAAAAGTTTCCCAAAGCTTCTTGTGCTTCTTGCTCACCTGCCCTCTTCTTGCCCCCACCCACCAAATCCCATTATCCCCATATCCTCACTACATCCTGTGCCTGTTTACTTCTGAGTTTGAGATCCATTGCATTATGCAGTATATGGTGGTAGTATATCAACAGTATATTCCTTTCATCATCTCTGTTAAAAAGCTGCACTTATTTGGCTTTTTTTTTCCTTCATGAGTGTTTTTGTTTTCCTACTTTTTACAAATCTTTTTTGTATTTGTTCTTATTTTATGGAATAGGACAGTATTGAAAAATAAATATTTATGAAAATTTATAAA